TCCAAGCACCTATGGAAAGGCATTCAGGCAGTTACAGACTACAAACCCTCCCCACCTCCCTGTGATGATAACACAGACTTCCTCAACGCACTTAACACACATTTTAGCCGGTTTGAGGAAAACAACAACACAACGGCAAAAAAAGCCACTCTCACTATGGACGATGCAATACTATGTGTCGACCACAGTGATGTTCGGAGGACCCTGAGCAGGGTCAATCCCCGGAAAGCCGCGGGTCCCGACAACATACCAGGGTGTGTACTTAGAGGTTGTGCTGACCAACTTGCAGTTGTTCTCACTGACATCTACAACATCTCCCTAAGACAAGCCATCGTTCCTCAGTGCTTCAAAGCCACGAACATTATTCCACTGCAAAAGAAATCACCAACATCATCACTGAACGACTATCGCCCAATAGCACTTACACCAATCATGATGAAGTGCTTCGAAGGGTTAGTCAAAAAACACATCTCATCCAGTCTGCCTGCCACATTTGATCAACTTCAATTTGCATACCGCCCAAATCGCTCCACTGATGATGCCATAGTAACTGCACTGCATCTGATTTTGGCTCATCTGGAAAATACAAACAGTCATGTGAGGATGCTTTTTATTGACTTCAGCTCCGCCTTCAATACGGTCATCCCACAGCACCTGGTAAAAAAACTGGAGTCACTAGGCATCAGCACCTCTCTATGTAACTGGTTGTTAGACTTTCTCACGAACAGACCCCAGACAGTACGTCTTGGAAAAATACACCTCTGAGACTATCATCGTGAACACTGGAGTTCCCCAGGGCTGTGTTCTAAGCCCCCTACTGTTCACCCTGTTGACTCACGACTGCTGTGCCAATCACAACTCGAATCACATCATAAAATTCACAGATGACACAACAGTAGTGGGCCTCATCAGAAATGACGATGACTCCGCATACATAGAGGAAGTTGATCAACTCATTTCCTGGTGTGGTAAAAACAACCTGGCGCTGAATGTCAACAAGACAAAGGAGATCGTTGTCGACTTCAGAAGAAAGCACATCCCACACCGGCCACTTACTATACATGGAAACAGTGTGGAGTTTCTGGGAGTGCATATCACTGATGACCTGTCATGGTCCACAAATACCTCTTCTGTGGTCAAGAAGGCACAACAGCGACTTCATTTTCTCCAAAGGCTGAAAAGAGCAAACCTCACCTCCCCTGTCCTCACAACTTTCTATAGAGGCACTATAGAAAGTATACTGACCAGCAGTATCTCAATTTGGTATTAGAGGTCGACCGATATATCGGCCGCCCAATATATCGGGCCGATATTTAGCATTTTTTAATGTATCGGCATCGGCCGATATCCGAGTGCACTACACCGATTTTCAGACAGGCACGTCTGCGGGCAGCCCAGTGTTATTGCTGCTGTGGAACACGTGACCCATGCTGCCTTGTGCAGGACCACAGCCAGAAGTTTTGGAAGAGTCCTGGGATAAAACGGTAAGGCTTAAATTCTGATCTATCAATGACCTGTTTATTTAAGTAGTTTGCTATGAAATGTTGCTTTAAAAGAAAACGCGAATTA